GTGGAGGTTAAACAACCAAACAGACCCATGTGGGGTGAATTTCAATTTGACTCATTTCCCAAACTTTTTTCCAACGTGCAGTTCTATCTAACAAGGATTACAAACGCACCAGCATCACAAAAAAAAAAATAAAAATAAAAAATTCCACTCTAACTCCACAATTTCTTCATGAAAGGGTCTCAACTGCCTGAGAAATCAGCATGAGCTCCTTTTTAATAAGTTGAGCCACTTCTGCACCCCTCCCCACACTATTTGACAGCTTATAATAAAATGTTTTCGATTTCTAATGCAGTAGGTACCAGCCAGAACAGGAAATGTTAATAATTATCCCAATTTTCAATTACTTTAACTGAATTTTCAAAGTAACACATTCACAAATTTCCTCCCTATATGTGAATAGAAACTATAGGCCAAAGCCAAAGCAGCTACAAAGCCCTGCAGAGAAGCGAAGGAAAAGAGCACTGAGCTGCTGTGCATCAATTGTGTGTCCTGATCTCGCACCTCATGCACAGAGTCAGGGCACACAGCAGAGGTAACTCTTTAGCTGCGCAGTTCATTAGGGTGCATATTTGCAATACTTTCTCAAAACAGACGTGAAGTTCCCAGGAAATTATGAGGAAACAAGCCTTAACAAATAGAAACAACCAATACACAAACAGAAAGGGTTGGTCCTGGCAAGGGTTTACAGGACCATTTCACCCAGAAAAAAATGTACTGCCTTGAAGCAAGTGCAGTTCAGGTGCACACCAACAGCTTTTCTATTTTGCTTTTTAGGATGTGGGTATGCCTATAGGCACATGACTTCAGTTCTGTATTTTCACAGAGTACATTATGTTTCTATGGTGCAGAAAAGACAGAGGTAGCCAATACAGCTCCAGAAAATCTGAAGACCATTCTCTTCCTCTCTCCCTCCATAATACCCTCTTTACTGAAGGAGATGGGTAACACAGACAGTCAGTCTATATGCTAAAAGCAAAGGGAATGTGTCATTCAACACAGCTGGATTGAGCGGTCACACTTAAACATCTTCCAGCTGTATTAGAAAAGGACACACTGCAGCAGCCCAAGGACACCAGGCAGACCTGATACCCTTTAAATAGTTTCCCTGTAATCTCTGAGGACTGATGTTGTATTTCACAGGGGTCTGCCAACTGTTAGGGCACACTATCATGTTACCCCACACAAAAGCAGGGAAGGTTAAAGAACAGTCAATGACAATTAATAATATCTATATTTTCCATTCTTTCACATATTTCATGCTCAATATCTTTCTTGAGTTTTCAACAGGGGTTCTCTCCATCTTTCTGCCTGCCTTTGTGATCATCATCCACCATTTTTTTCATTTCTGATTTGGCCTTACAATTTATTTTCCTTTGTTCTTTTCTCCCCACCTTCACAACTGTGCTGTAATGCATATATAAGATGCTAACAGCACACAAGAGGATTTTTAGAAGAACACAGCACAGTAAGTGAGCTGCTTATAAAATCCAGATACGCACATCACAGCTGCAGCCAATGGATGCTGAGTGCATTCAGCAACATGTCTGGGGCTTCAACGGAAGCTCATATCCTCAGAAAATGTGGCCCTGAGGTGACAGTCTCCTTAGTATCACTGATTTAACCCATCTTCCCACTAATGCAATTCCAGTGAACTCTACAGAATAAAATGGAGGGGGATAAACATGGAAAAATGGCAGAAGAGTAAAGAAAATAATACAGAAAGGCTGCAAGGGCAGCTTTGCTTGTATATTAAAGCTATTGACTGGAAATAAGGTTTGTGCAGCCCCCCTCCCTCAAAAAGAAACCCACTCAAAAATGCTATAAATTAAAAACCAGCGAATACATTCTGAGTTTGGACTCAGATGCCAAATTTCTGCAAATTCAGTTGCAGTGATAACAATAAAGATGAGAGAGAATTTTCTCTGTAACTGCTGCAATATTTTCCAAATACACTCAGCTGAATATAAAACTTAGCATTGTGCTTTTTTTTTTTGAGTAGCATATGGCACTGAGAGCTTCAGACAAGTCACAGAGGGCTGAGTCTTGGAGAATTCAATGAGAAAGTTGCTTGAGATGTGCTCAGAATATTTTTGTATTTTAGAAGCAAATATTCTTAGTTTCTTAGCATGATTTCATAAAAGTCATATAATTTCTTTCTTTTTTGTGTATTCATTATCCTCTAGATTCTGGAAATCCTTCTGTATGCTGACAGCAAATTACACTAAGTGACAACTATAAAGCCATGGCAGTCCTAGTTAGTCCTATGCTATACATTTGCTCTCCCATAGCTTAAAAAACAATAATACAGAACTGTATGAGTGTCTTAGGCTTCCAGTGTGATTTGTAGGAGCAAGATTTCTTTAACAGATCGTACAGTCAGTTTGGTCTATGCTATCTACCACTATGTATAATCACAGCAGGTAAATGTGACAGCCTGGTCAGATTCTACATTCAAATCCCGCAATTTACATTCTTTATTGTTGATCATTTTAATGCAGAATTGCAAGACAAAAAATACTAGAACCGTATGTGTTTTCTATAGATCTTAGAATTTCTTCTACCTCTCCAATATCTGAGCACAAACCTGGCTCTTGCTTAGTGCAGTAATCCCACAGGATTAAGCCATACTGTAAATACCAGACAAATTACAATTGGATTAGATGGGCAGTCTGTTCATTTACTCAACACAGCTGCACTCCAGAGTCTTTTCACCACTGGTGTCTATTTATAACATTAATGTTTTGTCCCTAAAGTAAATAAACACAGTTTCTATTTCATATCTCTCTTGTCTTGCCATTCGTGACCAATAAGGAGCACATTTCTACTTCCTAAGAGCAAGCAGAATGCTCCTTGAGAGGCCAAGAAGAAAGCTGTTCTTGGTACAGATCTGCAGGGCAAGATTTATTTTAAATTTATCAGTGAAAAGTCCCTTGAAAGCTCTGTGTTCAATTTCAGTCAAGTGGAATACAGTGAATATCTTTCTGGAGGTAGGTATGAGACAGCAACACGGATTTGCTGACATTTCTCAGGACTTGGCACATTCGCTGCAGGAATTTCTGTAGGTTCCAAACCTGGTACTTCTGCCTACATCGGTCAGCATAAAACCATCCGACTTACAAAGCTCACCAGGTAGATTTGGTGTAACATGGGGTTTACAGGGGATTTCTGCTCACTTATGAATAAGCAGTATGTTTAGTAATGTTCAATGTTGTCTGCACTTTGCCAAAATCTCCCTACCACTTCACTGCAATTATTTATGAATGTCACATCACATCCTTCACAATTGTTCCCAATTACTAGAATTGTCTTGCCTTTTAGGTACAAACTTGCTTCCATTCAGCACAGGTATTTGAGGTTATTGTATTTTTATTACTGTAATCACTTACTGAAACCCCAATGAATTATGGAGCTAAGTCTTTCCTAAAACAGTATTTATGATTGCAGGCCACAAAAATATTAAAGACAAATTAAGCAAACTGCTGCACCAACTTGTATTGTCAGTATCCTGCCAACTCCATTCCCACCTCCACCTTCTGATTTCAGAGCCATTATTCCTGACTGGCACAGAGATAAGTGAGAAAAAAGGTTGCGGCAGTGGAGTCCACAAATCAGGAGAAGTGCTGTGTATGCCAATGCAAACCATTGCCACCAAGCTTCTCCATACTCACACGTTTGCATGTACTCAGCTGCAGAAGTGTGAGGCACGCAACCTCTGCCCATGAAAACCCTGAGAGGGTGTTCTTGTGAGCCCCAACACGTGCCCCAAAGTGATGTGACCACACTGTGATGAGTAATGTAACAGAGTGGCACAAACACAACCAGAAAGGCAAGTGCAGAATTCACTTCTCTTCTGTAGCAATATGGTAGCCTGGAAACCAGAACACCTTCCGTTATGAGGTATAATCCAGCATAGTTTATCACATCGTATTTAATACGTTACAGCTGCCAAATAGGTATAATACAGCACTCACACAAACATAAGAACAGCTGTTCTCCAAGGAGAGTTTTTCTGTTTGGCAGGTGTCAAAAATTCAAAATCATAAACTGATTTTACTGAAATTGGAGGAGAAAGTGTACTGAGCCCACTTTGTACTCTGACAAAAGGTGTTATAGCTACCTTCCACTGCAAGACGTTGTCTTTGGCACGACTGAACAGGAATGTTTTTGCAACAGAAATACTGGTGTCAGGTTCTGCTTTCACTCACACCTGTGACTCCTGCTGATTTCATTAGGAGTTTCCATATTTCACTAGCTCAGAAATAGGTGCATGTTATGTAAACCTGAATGCATATGCGACAGACAATGATTTTATGATACAGCATATGAAAAGTCAATATTGGCTTAAGGTTTTCCTGCACAACTTTCCCCCATGTTTTTCCTCTGTGTGTGGGTGAAGCATAGTGGGTCATGTTGGTTTTCAGATCGACTCACAGTAGGACCTCCCAACCAGTCACACTAGCACAGCAAAAGAGATATTCTGTTGCACAGCACTGAAGGAGGCAGTGGGAAGGAGAGGAATGGTTTAAGCCGGTACCTCTGGTGGCCATCATACATGCCGTGATCACTGGCCAAGTTAAAGGCGATCAGTGGATCTTCGCCAAAAAACAACTATTGTTTGGTTATTTTGCCACAAGCTGCTTGGACAATTACTGTGTCCTAGCATCCATCAAGAAAGGAAGGATGTGACATGGTGGGAAGATCCCAGCTCATATGGGACCCTTACAACTGTGGAAAAGTTAATGAAAACTGACTCCTTTTGCAAGATCAAGCCATGAATTGTACTTTTGTAGTGCAGTATGCATACTTTAAAATTTTAAAAATATAACGATATGAAGACTAAAGCAATTTTAACGATAATCACTTTTCTTCCTGTTACAAGAAATTTATGTAAGTAATTCAGACTTCTGAAGTATTTGCTTTTTGCAAGTATTTGATTTAGTATAATATAGTGAAAAATATTGTACAAGGAAAAATGAGGAAAAATTACATCAAGAACTTACTTTCTGCAGGTTCCTTAGATCTTCTGCCACTGGAGGACTTCCTCAGGAGACTTCGTCCTGAGGTAAAGAGGCTGGTTAGTTCCTCCAGAGGACTGGTGGGTGTCCGAGAACGGGAACCACTCTGAGATGATGACCCATAGGTACTGACCGAGGCATTTACCATCTTTCCTCCTTCTTGCAATGTGTTTCTGGATGTTGAATGAGGCACTGATGGAGAGCTTCTTGAGAGACTTCCTGAATGTACAGAGTCATAAGGTGGAGGTCTTTTGAGGCTTAAGGGGGTAAGAGACCTACCCATACTGACAGGGGAAGGTGAGGCAGAGTGACTTTTAGGAAAACCATGTGGAGACTGCGTTCTGTATAAGGTAGAAGGATGAGGAGGCGAGGAGGTGTGCCCAGGGGTGCTAGTTCCATGAGATACTGTCTGGTCTTTCTCCAGTTTTTGATGGCCTGGTGTATGAGGTGGCAGTGAAGATGGAGAAGCTCCAGGTTGTTGTTTGATGTAAGACACATTTTCTAAAACGGGAAGCTTTGTGACCTCTAGTGGAGTTAGAGGAGACTCGTCAGAATTTGGGGAACACTGCACTGGTGCTGGTGGAAACACTAGCAGTGGAGGTCTGTGAGAAAGCAGATTTGGAAACGGTGGGGGTATATCACAAAGCAAGCCCTTGGGAGTAGATGGCACTGAAGACTTGGTGAAATCTAGGTCAGGCACTGTGGGAGTAGCACACTGAGAAGAACAAGTGTGATGGTCATATTCACATTGACATTTTGAATCTTGGCCTACGTCATCAAATATAGGGTATTTCATCTCCTCATAGACTGCTTCACTTTGGTCATCCTCATCTTTTTTGAAGTCTCTGAGAATATTCCCAACCATTTCAATATAAACAGGCTCTTCTTCCTCTGTGTCTGGGGCAGGACTGCTGACCTGCGATAAAGAGGCATCCCTAGTGAGTGTTGTCTTCATAGGGCCATGCTTTTTGATATATGTTTCATCAAAAGATGTGCTTAGCTGAGTGTTTGGATTTCGTTTCGGCTTAGGAGGTGGAATCTTCTTTGTGTATTCATCACTGTGAGGTCTTGGTTTGGCTGACACTGAAAACAGAACAAAATAAAAATTCATCAGAAGTATGTAACACACTTTGTCAACCATAGGATCTCTGTTACAGTGTCATAATTCTGGAACAGATTTCCTGGGACCAGCCTGCTGCTGGTTTTCTCTGGTATTACATCAGTAGAACACTATAAAAATAACACCGTATTCAAAACAATCCTAATCTTCCCCCAGAATGCTCTGACACTTCAGTATTAAGTAGCTAATGAGCACTTCCCTTTCTCCGAGACATCTGTTCTCTCCTAAACTCTTTGGACAGGGGACTTTCCATTTTTAAATATTATGCTTTTCAAATGTCACTGTGGGATTTTAAAGACCCAAAGAGTTGCCAAAGACATAAAACCAAGGATCCAAATGAACTCCTTATGGTTGCAAGACAACAGTTAAGATCCTGGACATGCATACTGGAATGACAGTGATGTAACTCCGCAGTGACACAGTGATGAATCAAGACCTTTTTATTTATAGTAACTTCTTGCATAAAGCACAACAGTTCTTTCAGCACTGATTGACAAATAAAACACACGCATACAAATACTCTAAAATTTGCTGTTGGGATAATCCTAAACATTTATCTGGACTCCATCCTACGAATTAACGAGACTTCAGTGAGGTCAGGGGGGAACAAAGTATCTCACAGGTTCAGATCCTTCCCAAACAGGTTATTTCTAGAAACAATAGAGTATTTTGTCTTTGAAATTATAAATCAAAACATTGTGATGAAATTTGTTTGAAATAAGAGGTCAAGGGTTTCTTAGAAATTATCCTTTATGAATTAAACAATATACAAACTCATGGAAATTGCATTTTGTTCACTTTGCATAAATAGTTAGTAAAACATCTAATTAAATGTTGAGGTTAATAAAATGCCTCATTAAATGTTTGGGTGAAGTCAGTTTTTATCCTAAGCAGACTCAATGAACTTATTCAGAAACAAAATTTATCACATAAACTAAACCTAATTTATATTCGTACAGGGTAAATAGTTCTTGCATTGAAAGCCTTGATACCTCATTGGTAAGTTTCCCAATTTAAAAAATATCCTAAATGACAGGCCAGTTTAGAATGGCAGCTTTCCTGTCTTTCCAAACTTTGCTTGCAATTCACTGCTACAGATTTGCCACTGAAAACTCAGCGCTCAGAGAAATTTCCAGACACCTTCCGCTGACCCATCAGAAAACAGCCAGCAAATTTCTAATGTTAAACCAAGTGGGCAGTGCTCATGGAGTTAAAAACCCTCTTTTAGAAACAGCCTCAAATGTATCACTAAAGCCAGCAGCGAGGCACTGCTCTGCCAGCTGACAGTATTTTGACAGTCTGCAAGCATGTCGGCTCAGGGCTGGAAGATGCCTGCATTACAGCATCTTACTAACGTGATTTGGTCAGTATCAGAGGAGGATTCAAACATAGTGTTATCCCTTTGTCACACTTCTGCTTTGATCTGCCAAATAACCTCTCTTCAGTTCTTACAAGGCATAGCGATAAAGGCAGATGTTAAACAAGATTCCAGTTTTGTTTAGGAATAAAGAGCTGTGAATGTATGTGTATGCACATATATGAAGTAATGAGATCACTCTTTGTCGACAGTATTTGTTTAAGGTTAACATATAACTAAGGTACAACAAAGAAAAAAAGAAAAACACAAACAAAAAACAACCTCAAAAAATGGTGTTATGCTTTCATGGTGGTTCCAATTAATGTGTTCCACTTTGTAGCAGACTAGGGACATGCAAAACCTACCACAAATAAGAGTGTTTGGTAGCTTGACAGTTTTTCGCTATGTGGATATATTCTAGTGCACTTTAAATTTGTCTTTTTAATTAACCCAAATTAATTTTCTTGAATGTATTAGGATAGACTTTTGGGAATGAGATGTAGGCTACCAGAATCACTTGGGATTTGCAGAAAATACCACTCCTGATGTATTTGACAATACCAGCAGATTTTTCTTGCCGTGCTTCTGGCTAAATCACTATTTCCTTTCTGTTTAGTCTGTTATTTGTGCATTACATTCATATACATTCTACTGACATAAACTTGATCTAAATCCTCTCTCCATACCTCTGTTAATTTGATTTACAATCCTGGCAAAAGCAATCTTCTTCAGATTGGTGTCATTAAAATGAAGAGACAGCCAATGAGACTGGCACAAAATGCCTGATGATTTCTGAACATGTTGCCCAGGACATGAACTCCACTTTACTAGCTAAAGGATTACAGACTTGGCTGCATTTGAAAACTGTGTCTTTTGTATACAGAGGTTTCTTGCAGTCTTCAGTTCCTTGTGCGTCATGCCTTAATGGATACCCAAGATACAAATGTTTCCCGCTCCTCTGCCTCACTCAGACCCCTGCTCCCTATGCTGTCTTCTACATCTCCTGTGCCACAGGTGTCACACTGAGAACGCACGCTGTCTCACAGCCGCATCCCCACTCTTCCATCTCTTTATCTGCAGAGATGTTAATGATGGACAAAGTAATCAAAAGATGCTCTTGTGATGGAGGTCATTCAAGGCCAGTGTTAACTGATATTTTTACCTAAAAATAGCTAAGAGTGGTTAAGAGTACTGTGTTTTCAAACAAATTGCTAGAAATAGCATATTTTCCACTTCCCTCCTTCCATTTTCACAGTTTTTATCCAACTGGTGAGGTTCTGCCACATGGTCTAGACCTGTCCTTAGGTGTTTGGGTTTGCATATACAACATTCACAAGTTATTACATTACAGACAAGGAAATGAGAAATGTCATGGAAAAATGACTGACATTCTGGCATCTAGTCTTGTAAAGTATTTTTGCATGGGTTGAAATTAAGTACTGCAGTGACACACAGAGCGTTCTCATCTGCCATTGCATGATATGTAGCATTAACCTAAAATACCTTGGTGACATTATCGACAAAAAAGTCAAATGACCCAGTATTGCTCTATGGTACACAGGGTAAAACATGACAAGGTGAAAGATTTACTTTCCATTTTCTATTAAAAGCATTTTTCCTCTGCCACATTTTATTTTATTAAAGCGTCTATTTCCAGGAGGTGGTATGTTACTGAGATCTTTTTCCCCTCATTGACAAACTCAACTTTTCAAACTAAAATTTAAAACCAAGTGTTTTAAATATATTATAAACTTTATAAAGGTATAGAGGCACCTCCTATATGCTATATGGAGCAGGAACATTTGGTGCTGTGAGACTTCCTAGAGAAAATATGCAGGTAAACAGATAAGGTAAATAGAAAAGGGCTCTTTTTATCATGACTGGGAACAGAGGAACTGCTCAACACCTACTGGGAATCCCCCTCAGCTGCAGTGGGGCATTCAGGGGGCAAACTGAATTAGCTTTAAGAAGGCTATGATGCAAGACACTTACCATGTTTATTTAACAAAGGTTTCTACTCTGAAACGCAGTTCCATAGCAAGGGTTGAACTCTACAGCACACCCAATAATGGAATATGGATCATGAACAACTGCTCCAGCCCACAATGGCAGAGAAAAAACCCCAGGAATCCTGTAACCAAACAGAGCTGTGCAAAGCTAATGAAAGGAGCAGGGAGTATTTGTACAGTTCTCGTGCTACCAACATTTGGCAGGGATAAATGTGCATGAATGCAAGAAGCCCTGGCAAGATCCCATAGCCAATGAAAGGAGATTATTTGGCCATCTCCAGAGAGGAACAGGCAAGATTGCTTTAAGTACTTGACATTTATCAGGCAGAAAAAGCATTTGGTGCCTGCTGGGAACATAAACTCCTATGAAAAGCAAACCATGCTGACATATTGGTGATACACATACTGCCGTGTTGTCTGCTCCAAACATGGAGTAATTAGGGGCTTTTCAACACGGATTACAGTGTCCTTGGTGCAACTGTCGCCAGTAACTTGCCTTGAGACTCTGCCACTCGTATGTCAGAGCACACGGGGCCCAATCCAAAGCTAAATGGAAGAAATGAAAGTGAGGACTATTTCTGTCCCTGCCAGGTGCAAGTTCCCTTAAACAACCATGTCAAAGCCACAAAGCTCTTATGAGCACTTCTATTACAGACACACACAAATGCAAGAGACCGTCAGGTCTGCGAGGAGTGCAAGCAGAGTGGAGGCAATCAGAGGAAGATAGCTCAGCAACTGCGACGTGGTCCTCTGCCCTCACCGGAGCTGCCCCGGCTGCGGGAGCTCAAGGTGCTACGCTAGTAGCTCTCTTTTTGCACCGCCCAAACTACCGCAGTTGATAAACTGGAGGTACGATGACCCTTGCAAACAAAACTGAACTTCACAGAGTTTACGCTGCTTGGGCAGGAACTCTGTGTTTAATAGCATCCTACTACCAAGTGATTATCTAGCTCTAATAAAGTGCAAGTGAAACAAAACATGCAGTAATAACTTCAGTTCGCATCTAGAAGCAAGAAGCACAGTGCTTAAAATAGCCTTATGGAAGCCCTACTGAATAAGCAGAATATGACATTTTTGAAATGAGATATTTGTAGTGCAAAGGTTACTCATAGCTTTCAGACATGCCCAGATAATCAGCTTTCATAGTTAATTTTGGAAATACAGAATGCTTCTGGTCATCTTATCCTCCTGATGTTTTTTTTTACTCTTTAAGGAGAGACTGAAATATGAAAATGTGTTATCAGATTGTTTTTTATTATTTGCTTACTGTATAAGGAATAAGTGAAAATGTCTCAAAACTGAAACAAATTTTGTCATTTTCAGTTGTCCTTTGGGTGTTTGCTGACTTTTGCAGTCCAGAGACCAAGCTGATTTATTGTGCTGTTCACCGTAAAAAACAGAATAAAAATACATGTAACAGGAAAATTCCTCCCTTTCAATTTCTACAAGAGACTACAGCATTCAATTTCTTTCTAAATGAAGGAATGATTTAGGGCCTAAAAATTTTTAAAATTCTTTAAAATGTTACTTTAAATGCAGAAGGAATTAATCTTGCTGTATTTTGAGATGCACCTCTGTCAAAAAGAGCCTCCAGGAGTGAAAGGAAATAGAATTTCTTTAATTAAACCCTGAATGTGCTGGATACTGAATCAAAGATGCACAGATCCTGATTTACATCACATAATTCAACAGAGAAAATCCAGCTCTAGGGTAGCACAGAACCTATATATATATATATGTGTGTCTAAGTTCAAGACTATGAGTAACCCCACAGGCTTTAATGAAATGAACTGCTCGTTCAAAGTTGCACATGATCCTAAGTGCGTTTGTGCACCAGTGCTTATATTGGGTTGGATTTCATTATCTCTGTAGATGAAGTTTGAATATTCTTAGTGAAACTGAATTTAAAAAGGCACAGTCCTCTGAATAGCGCAAAAGATCGGCACTCAGGAGACCTGAGTTTAATTCATTTCTTTGTCATAGGCCACAGGGCTTCACCTGTCATTTTACCCCTTAATGCCACTTTTCACTGTCTATCTTTTGCCAGTTTCGGCTCTAAGGTATTTTATGCAAGGTTTTTATTTTAATTTGTTTCTTTATATCAATCCTTGCATGGTGGTTCCCATCATTGGAAAGCAACAGTAGAAAACAAAAGCAAATTAAAACGTATCTGTTGGAGACATGGAGTGTTGAACATGCACCTTTTCTTCTTGAAGGAATTTTTGAAGATAAATGTTCCTACACTGTAAGCAGACATAAAATACACACAGAAAGATGCATCTTAGCAAATGACTATAGAAACATCATCACAAGGTTGAAGTAACAGCAGAGAATGTGTCTCTGTCACAAAAAAAACCCAGATGGGTCCTCATGGACACAAGTCCTTTCCCTGCAGGTTACCTTTTCCTTTTTGAAAAGATGCTAGCAGGAAAAAGCAAAGAGGGAAAGAACATGGAAGGAACAAAAGAACCATCTGATTCATTCAAACAGCTTTGCAAGCAATAGGTAGTTTCACCACAATAATTTCATGCAGTACATATTTCTCCCCCCTCCTGAATTTAAGAGTTCTTACTGGAAATTTGGGCATTTAAAGAAGACAAAACTGTACTGAAAATGAAAGGACTAAAAGACAGTGTCACAAAATAATACTGACGTGCTACTCAGATGTCTCAAGGCTATGATTAAGGAGACTTCTTCAAAAGCATTCAGGTCCCTTTATTTTGGCTACAACGTCTTTCAGCTTTTCAAATGATTGATTTCTGCTCTAATTCAATGTGGTGGAAACCTAGTGGCTTCAGTAGTGATATTCCAGAATTAAACACCAGTATAACAGAGAGCAGAATTGGGCCCTACAGTTAAATTCAGTTCTGCGTTAATCCAACAATACAACTGCTGCAGCTGATAGGCACCATGGTTGCAGACATGCTGCTGCCAAATTCAGCTTAGGGGTGTGCATCCAGGCCACAAAACCGAATTCTGAGCCCCAGCACCACGGCCCCTTACAGGCTATATATGCCAAGGTAGCTATACCTGCCTGGGATTCACAAAAGCCAGCCTACTGCACTAACTGCCCTGCTGCCAGAGCCTCCTCCC